ATAACTTCAATCCTTTCTCCATTTATTATGATGTTTTTTATTGATCCATTTGGTGATTTTTTTTGTTTGTTTTCTTTATATTGAGGTGCATTCCAATGGATATAGTACATTAACTTTTACTTTCATTTCTACACAAACCTTTTTGAACCCTGATTGTTTATATTATATCACTTACATAGATAAATAATCTGCTGAAATAATACATTTTAATAAATATATGTATTTCTTGGTGCTAATATTGGTGTAGTTTCACTGCTGTACCTTCACTAAGACTTTGCCGCTAAGAGGGGTTATAGAGAAACAGAATCTTGGGAATTAATTTTCTGATTTTTTTCTGTGAATTAGAAAATTGGTTTTCAAATATGGATACATTGAAAAAAACCAACAAAACAAAACCCAAATTGAATGACTATTTTCAATAGTAAAGAGAGCACTGATAGTCCGTGGCATGATGTTGCATTACAGATATGTAAAATATCACGGACTGAAGCTTCTAATCAAATACCTATAAGGCAGACTGTTATAAGTGACAATGTATTTGATACCTTATGACAGTTTTGCCTAAATACAAATTATAATACCTTTGGTTGATTATGCATAATTATGATAAACAAGATGGGGAGAGAAGAGAATGTGCTCAGTACTAAGGGTTTCAAATTCCCTCATCAGGACCTGGGCAAATGATTTGAAATTTTAGATGTGTGCCCGAAAATAATACCTTATGTCCTATAGCCACAGAACTGATTTTGCAGAACCAAACTCAGCATCTTCTGCTATGAATTACTATGTTAAATGAATGTCCAATCTCCCAGAATATGTTTCTAAAATAAAGATATTTTTTGAGGAGGAATGGGATCTAGAAACTTGGAAGAGAGATTATAAGCAGAACTGGGACATTGAGCCCTCATATTAACTTGAAAGTTTTATTTTTGTTAGTAGAATAGTTGTTTCACATCCTTCTAGGAAATTTACTTTACATCTACATGAAGAATGTGTAATTGCCTCCACTGAGATCATTTTTCCTAGGAAGATACTGTCTTATTTTTTCAGGACCTACCATAGTCACCTTTCTTTGCATTTAGATGCAAAACTTGTACCAGGTAAAATCTTCCAAAAGATGAGGAAAAGGGTGTGACCCATAAGGAAGTTCAATTCACTAAAAAATAACTACACCTCCCCCAATTTCTACAAACCAGAATATAGTGACTGTGTGTGGAAATGGAAATAAATAATGTGGGATATAAATAGAAGGAACATCGTGTTGGTCAGAATGAATTAATTGAAATGAAA